CCGCTTCCGCTCTTTGGATCAATTCTGGTGTCAATTTCGAGATCGAAATATTCTCTGCCCTCAGGAGTGATGGTTCAGTGGTTTCGGTTTCGCTCATATCTGTGCTGACAATCACTAAACCTATTGATAGTAAGTCTGCGTTTGCGTCAAATTCTGGCGTTTGTCTCAAAATAGAGCAGAATTTGAATTGAGAGACAAATTCACGAATGTTTAGAAAATACTGTTAATTATAATACTATTTATTAACTGACTTTTGTTTTATTTCAGAGACTTTCTTATGTAATGTTAATGTATTTATAGTTAATTTAATGTGAAAATTACATCAACAGAGCAATTAAAAAGAGCAATATTTTAGTTAAATTTTATATCAGATTTCAATTTAAACCACAATTTTAAGCATAATTTATTTAAATTAAATGTATTTAAAAAGTTGGAAATGTAAATATCCTTTAATTTAATATATAACGTAATTTGATAATAACATGGTTTATTTATAATTACTGTTACGTCTCGACAGTTAAAATATTTCGCTATAATTTCTAGCAAATAATCTCATGATTTAATCAAAACATATTTTACGGCATCTGTTGTATAGAATAGTCAAATATTACACCAAATGTTTATGGTTTTTGGTTTTGTAGATCGTTTTGTAGAAAATTCTATTATTTTAGTTTTATTTAAACATATTTTAAAAATAGTTTAAAATTCAAATTAAATACAATTTAAAGTGTAGACAAAGATGTGCTCCAAATGTGAAATCCGTCAAAAAGTTTGGTCATATTTAGAAGACAATGATATAGCACTGCCTCCACGACCCGTCTTCGATAGGATACCTAACTTTAAGGTCTGAGACAATCGCTGCAAAACAAAAGCCAAAAAGTATTATTAAATCACAGAAAACTTATTTAATATGAAATATAGGGATCAGAGATTGCGTCCGAAACTATTGTCAGACTCGAGGAGTTCGCAAATGCAAGAGTTGTCAAAATAAATCCGGACAGACCTCAAGAAAGGGCCCGATTCTGTGCACTCGAGGTATAGTTTGTCAGCGGATTAGATGACAAGTGATTTCTTAAAACTAAAAGTACATAATTTCAAAGTCAAGAAAGACATTATTAGTGCCGACACCGCGTCTCAGCTCAGGTCTATTCAATGAAATCCAAGCGCCAGACTATAGCCCACAAATGCTAAAGACCTGCGCCTCGTCTCAAGGCGTTAAATGCTTTAGTACTCCAATTGGATTGAATTCAACAATAAAAATAGACTTAATTATTGTCGGATCGGTAGCTGTTTCTAAGCAGGGTATCCATTGCATCCACACTACAGTTGTTTGCACTCAAAATCAGGCGTTTGAACACATTTTT